TGATACTTTGAATATTACATGTTAATAACTTGATTGGAATTATAACCTTGAGTTGACAGTTTGATACTTTGAAAATTTTGAGCCAGCCCTACCCCCAAGGGCTGTAGGGTGGGGCTCAAGGGAGTCAGTGTGCTAAAATTTCTTCATTTTCCTTGTTTAGAATCAGAGGTGCTAGTTTCAAATCCTTTTTAGTCTGAAATCTGTATGCTTGATATTGAATAAGGTGGTTTTATTGTTTTTTGTCTCTTTGAATAATATTTCTGTTCATGTTAAAAACGAAATCAACTCTCTGTATAAATATATCAGGTGACCGTTAAGGCCCATGGGCCTCTTGTTATCTATACATTTAGACAGGGATCAAAACTTCTAAATCACCCTTAGAAAACATTTTGTAGATTTACAGACGTGAATATACTTTACCTTTATATGTGGCCTAATTCTTTCACAAAATTTAAATTCATATTTATAATTAACTTTGATACCAAGCCAAAATCTTCTAACCTTGATTTAAACTCTTTTGTTTCCATGTTGCAGGACTGCGAATTGGTCCATCAGATCAATTCCACAATTTTCTTGATCATATAATTATAACATTGATGATGGGCACAATTTGTCAAACCTTGATTTGAATTCTCAAGTTCCTGCCTGATACAAATGTAAAAAACACTGTTTTTCATTTTACAGGACTGCCCGTAGTAATATTGGCCATATTCTATGTAGTGGCCTTTAACCTTTACAAGTATGTGTATTACATGCCTGTGGATTTCATTTATGGAGATGTCAACAATAATGGTGAAATGTAAGTTTGCTTGAATGTCAGAAAGTTTTACTTATAATTAGTGAAGCCCAAAACTTGCATAAACTGTATAAATCAGACAGGATTTCTGCTATATTATAGGTCATCTATCTATAGATTAGAGTATTTGCAAGTTAAATCTAAGAATCCCAAGAAACCTGTCCTCCAAGAAAAGGATTCAATTATTATTAAAAAGTTATTTTAATTATTTTGTGATGGAAATAAACAATATAATATTGATGTAGAAAAGATATATAAATTGTCAGCTTTAAATGTTGAAAACAAGTTTATGAAAATAATGTAACATATATGATGTCACTATAGTTGTATTATGATTTCCATGTAGAGATATATCTACTTTGAGATTACTGGGAGTAACTGCTGACATTGACATTATATGTTACAGGTGTTTCATCACCAATCCGTATGCGGCCCTGGGGGGAGTCATTCTCCCTGTGCTGCTGATGCTGTTAGTGGTGGGTGTGGTCTTTGTCAAGGCGTTCCAGGTCACCCCACAGTGGCAGGCCTACGACGACATTTATAGGGGGCGTTATAACATAAACGGTGAGTGTCAACATATCATTTTGAAATGTTTATTTGGTAATATTGACAGGGATTATGTTTTTGGTTTATTTTCCTTTTCTTCCTTTCTCTGTATTGGGATAACTCTTCCTGACGCTTGATCAAGAACTGGCAAAAAAAGATACTTCAGTTCAAAATGTTCAGAACCACATAAGCTGATGTTCTGAAATATGGCGTCATTTCAATGCGATATGCTGCAACATTAAATTGATATTTTGGTCAGCTGAAGAATATTGCCAAAATGCAGTCACCATGTCACTGACACACTGCTTCACAGAAAAATGAAGTTATTATATATAACCAAACTTACTGTAAACTTTGAATTCAGAGTGAACCTTCGGTATACAGTTCTTTTCCTGCTCTTTAGAAATACATGTACATACTTTGTAAACTTCTAACGTATCTACAAAAACCTGTTATATATGTGTGTTAAATCGGTAAGAAAAGTAACTCGATACACTGTACAAGCCCCTACTCAGCCTATAAAACCTGCCTGGTTGAATGTTTACAGAGATCCGTACACTTCTGTCCTTCTGGGCGGTGATCACCCTGACATGGCTGTGGGGAGGACTACACATGGCGTACGGACAACTCTGGATGCTTGTTATGTTCTGTATATTCAATTTACTACAGGTGAGAAAATCAGGAGATTTGCCAAACGTTGTCTTACTTCATATAATAATAGGGATAAAAAAGGTCTGATTTAATCATGTGTGTATACTGCTTTAAGACCTTTCTCTGTACCCATGAAAAGTTGTCTTCAAAAGATAGATGGTTTAGCAAGACATGGAATGCACTAAGAGAGGTTGAGAAAAAATTATAAGTTGAACCTCATATTTATATCCTGAACAACATGCAACATAAATTTGTCTCAACCTGTCTTAGTGAGACAGGTAATGTTAAGACAAATTTGATCATATTACTAAACGTGGTATGCTGTCCTGGATATAAATACCAGTGCAAGAGGTTCTAAGTTGATGGTTACTCATTAGTTTTCTATCAGGACGGAGTTTACTGTAATATTTGTTGATTACAGGGTATATTAGCCCTAGTCCTGTACACAATACTACGTAACCCGTGTGTACAGCAGTGCTTCGGGCCACAAAAGAAGCTGTACTCCATCTCGGCCGATGCCAACACGGGTACAATGTCTGGTGGGGATGACATCCGCCACCACATGGCTTCTGTAGAGATTGGCAGCCTCAAGGGATCTAGGGCCTCTCTACTGAATGATGTGAGTCGCATATACAGATTATTTCATGTTTTTAGCAAAGGAATTCTAATGATAAGTAGGTTTTGTTTGCTATATGTGATTTTAAACAGCACTGGTCTTAAAAGTCTTTTGGGCAGATTTTCTTCTCAACAATGTTCAATATTAATTATACATGTATCAAACTTAAATTTTGAAAGAACCTTTCTCAATGAATGTATCTACAACAGTAAAAGGGTTTGATACAGTAGTAATGAAATATTTGCTAATTTCATGTTTACTAAATCTCTGTATCATCTGTTTTATTGCAGAGCTGGGAGCGGGACTCCGTTCCTTCCAAGAGTACGATGAAGGTGAAGCGACAGCTGGCATCCAGTGGTAACATTTACGTGACGCCACCTGTCCTCGTCCAGTCTACTGACGGAGACTACACCACTGATAAAGACTTTGATGATTTACTGTACGCATTAAAGACAGATGGCAGTTATACTGCTAGTGATGTCAACAGTCTGGACTCGGACAGAATATCAGAAATATCCAGCAAAGTAGATAAATATGAAATGCGACGTATCTCTATTGCAGACACACATTTATGAGTTTGAAAATTTTGTATACCCAGTAATTTGTACGCTGATGAATTAGTTTATTGTATTGTGAAATATCAAAAGTATGTCAAAACTACTCCTATTTTTTGTATTTTCAAAATTATTGACAAAGATGTTCTCACTTTTTTCTTGAGTTGTTGATATATCAAAGGTTCTACCTAGACAAAATCTGAATTAACTGTTCTTGAAGTACATATAACTATTTCATCATTACTTTTTTGGTCGTAAATTATCAAAGGCTATTTCGATAGCCATATCATGAACTAACTCACTAAACTTAAGTACATTTAAAATCACAACTGTATGAAGGCCCCGTGAAGGTCAACAATGACTAGGCTCATACATACATGTATATGTCAATCAATCAGTCACGTGTGTCGGCTCACACTTAACACTTATTGTGATACATTTTTGTTATGTTTGGTATGACATGTGGTGCAATATTTTAGCTGTTACCTTTCACTAAAGTGTTATTATAGCTCACCTGGGCCAAAGAACTGGTAAGTTTATGCTGTGGCGCATCCGCCTCTGTCAATTTTTCATTCAAAATGCTACTAGTCCAAAACAGCGGAGTGGAATTTGACAAAATTTGGCCTTGAGTTTCCTTGGGAAAACAGGAATAAATATTGTATGTATGGTGGGTGTGACTACCCCACCTGGGATAGACGGAGGGGCCGAATAGGCAAAGTATATATTTAAAACTCTTTTACTTTGTGGATTAAGAGGGTTTGACTTAATTTAATCTTCAGCATTGAATCTTAGATTCCTCCTTCAATACGAAAGAAGGGATCTAAACCAAATTTGATGTAGAGTATTCTTAGGTCAAGGGGATTCAATGTTGTATAAAGGAGGCCCCCAACCATCATCCCATCCCCAACCATGGGGTATAGGACCCAATATTAAGGAAAAGGTGTTGCTGAGACAGCTGAGCCAATATTTACTGGAAAATATATTTTACAAAATTTTGCCATGATTGCTGAAATATCCAGGTGAGCTATACAGGCCCTCTGGTCTTCTGTTAAGTTTACAGTGGATTATGTTTCTGAAAGTTAGTTTTTTGTCCCTCAGCTTCATTAGTTTTACAATTTCATCAAATGATCTCAGAAATGTACAAATGATACTTTTTTGAGATCTATAAATAGATATTAAATAAATAAAGGTTGGCATTGTGCAATATATTTATTAAGAAAGTACAACCCTTAACATGTTTCTAATAACTATTAATGATATGTCCTGCCCGGAGGTGGAACACTGGTTTGTACAGCATTTTATATATGGTGTGTTACACAGAAGTTGTCATTGTACATTTTCTCTACGTTGTTACGTATATAATTCATACGTCATCATTTTGATGCTCAATATATACAATATTGTCAAAACTTTACAATAAAATTTCTATAAAACAAAAACTTGAAAAATTGTTTTCAATTGTATTAAACTTTGTTCACAAAACATAAAAAAAATCTACCCGTCATTAAGGTGACATTACAACCTTAACCCTTTCAACACTAGACCATAATGGACTCATCCATATCAATGCATGGTAGTGTCTACTAAAGTTACATAGGGGTGAAAGGGTTAAGATCTATAAGTCAACAGGATCAACACAAAACAATGGATCTGTAAATCTCCATACTTTACCAGACACTAACGTTTCGTGTAAATTTCGCAAGCAGAGCATAGCACAGACACATTTCAAACAATACATAAATTAATGTATATCTGTTCACTTTGTGAACTCTAACCCTCATTCAAATTCCTTAGATGAATAACACAACAAAGTAATGCCTACAAATATGGTTTACAGTACACAAGAACATTGACTTAGTATCAAAATACGGCACCGGTCAACCTGAGCTCTGACATATATATACTGGTAGGTATGTAAATTAATATAAAACTGAATGCCGGTACAACTCCAAACAAGAGTACATTTTCTATTTATAATCGGTGATCTGAGTTTTTCCCCAGGACTCGGAATATTGACACTTTTGAAGTGACATTGTACTGAACACATACTGGTACATACATATGAGGTTTCAGCAAAATCTAACCAAGAATTAACACAATGACAACTGAACGAGTCAAATAAGATAATCATTGGCAGCAAAATAAATCCTCATCCCAACATGCACCTCCCCATTTTATGAAAGTTACAAAAACATCACTATAAATGCCAGGGAAATGAAAAAATATATAGGAAACACAATTTATTTAGGTTTGAGAAAATCCATCCTCAAGTCTTTCTCAACTTCTGGAGTATTCTCATACTAACAACCCATGATAATGTTATCAAGTAGTAAAAAGATGATAATTGTACTTATTAAACAGCACTGTCATATGACCTTGAAATCGTAGTTATCACACAGACAGTACTGTAATATGACATTGAGATTGTATTTATCACAGACAGTATACTTTAAATGTCCAAAACTGTCAAACCGGTCTTTTCCACTATTACTAATGTTTCAGCTTCTTGGTACTCACGGCTGCAAAAAACGAATTTAAAATCCTCATCAATACACTTTAATAATTGATCAAAGCAACAGATTAAGTACTTGATTTCGCATATATTTTACCAATATCAGAAAACATCTTTTGTAACCTGTGCGTTTAAGTTTTACTTCTTTGACAGACCACTGCATTGGATTCCATTGCATTTCTTTGTATGAATTTATAGCCAAAACATACCTGTAATCATTCTGTATGAATTTATAGCCAAAACACACCTGTAATCATTATGTATGAATTTATAGCCAAAACATACCTGTAAACATTCTGTATGAATTTATAGCCAAAACATACCTGTAATCATTCTGTATGTTTTATAGCCAAAACATACCTGTAATCATTCTGTGATAATACATTAAAATTTCTCAAGATTGATTACAAAACTGACAAACTATTTTAAGGTAGAATATCTTATGATGATTTATCCTTGAAACAATCAAATCTCTTATATAGTACAAGTTGAAGCAGAGTTTTGGATATAGCAAATTATGATCCCCTCCCATATCATGACTGTAATAATTAATTTACAACAGCAGGCAAGTGAATTGTTTTCTGTATATGTGCCAAATTTTTGTTACATCAAAATAACTAGGGGTATGTCATACTGATTGTGACTATACACAGTGATCACAAGACCAAATTTTGTTGTGCTTCGAGAACATTCAAACGGTTTGCAATGGTTCATGCACATTATTGGACATAGTTACGTTATCTTGGTTGTTCAAAAATGGAAAGAACAGTAAACAGTGAAATATGGAGCCATGTGTTGCAGGTGTAGAGTTACAAGACAATGAAATAAAATAGAATAATCTAATGGCAGTTAAATCTATTGGATTTTGTTTTCTTCTTGAACTTCATAAATGAGTTTCTATAAAGATTTGAGCTCTACCTGGCAATCCTCTGTGATACCTTGACTTTCTTGGGGTTTAAAATATTTGTTTCATGCGAGACCTACCTTTGACATAGCAAACCTCCGTGTCTACCCCTAGACTGATCAGGTAACTCAGCCACAAAATCTGTTTGTGAGAAAGGCGATCTCCAGGACCCTTCACTTCACAGATCTGAAATCAAACAATATACCACTCAACAAGTTAAGACAGCACAGAAAAGTGTGGGAAAATTCAGTTACCTTCTTGTGGAAACCTAAATAAAATATCTATATATCACCATGGAACACCTAGAGGGTGAAAACTGATCTGAATTTTATACCAAAGTTACAAATAACGTTAGAATGTTACTACCAAGGTACTTTGCCTTTGTTAAACTTGACCTTGGCCTTAAAAAGAAGTTACTTCAAGTTGTACACGATACACCATCTGATGATATATAATTTTGTGAAAATATCTACAGACACTCATTATAAAGATGTCCTGGCATTAGCACCAAAAGATTGGATGAAGAAGCATCGAGAAAACCTTTAGTTTTCTTCTTATTACCAGTTTCACCGACTTAAAGACTAATGGAAAAAGACCTACGTTGCAGTCAAACTTCTATCTATGAAACTTGAACCAACCTTGACAGTTTTATTATCAGTGTTCCACAGGGTCAGGTCTGGGAATCCACCCCTGGTCTGACGAGGGTTACAAGCATACCTCTCGAGGATACCCGCGATCACCTTCCCACCAAAACAGGACACCAGACCCTGTCAACAACAAAACAAACATTCAGCTTAAAAGATATAAATACAACATATGTTTATTACATCAGCATCGTTTTGGAGAGTTCCACAGTGAAACGAAAACTTGGAACTAAACACTAAAAGGACCAATATGTTAAGATGACACAGGTTTTAACAGAAATGGATACAACAAGGCCTAGGCTTTAACACAGACAAGAATGGAAGTGGTTGTGTTGACTGGCAGCCTTGTTGTTTTTCATAGATTAAAGCTTTTAAACGATTTCCAGGATACAATGGCACAGAATAGTTCTTTTTCCAAAATTTTTAATGAGTGTATTCTTGTTTTTACGAGAGAAAAGATAAATCTGCCATTACCTACTAGTATCTAGGGAAGGAAAGTTTGCACACACTGAAAACACCAGCACTTCACAACAACATTGGTGTGATTGCATCATCAATTTTTGCAGTGTAACCATAGCAAAATGGGATTGTATCATTCATTTTGACACGGTTCACCGTAATCCATTACAACTATTTTCTTTATAGTAGAAAGCGCTGAAGAAAAATTATCAAAAGAAAGTGCTGATTTTCAACATTTTTATCCCGAAGGTTGAGATTTCATAGCCTACATTATTACGAAGAAGTGATAGATTCTCTGAGACTCTTACCTTTGCATGGTCAACACCTGAGAAACGGTCCCAGCTCATGCCACACATCTCTCCCTCATGTTGTTCCCAGACATCGGACACCATCTGGTGAAGCTCCTGACAAAATGACATTTCAACATCTGGTCAGCTTATGATACAGTAAGTAGTACAGGATCCTACATGGTGTCCTGATATATCTCATAAAAAAATATTTGTTAGCGCTCCATCATGTTTTAAGTATTTTGGGTTATTCTTTGGACTTTTTTGTTTTATGTCCATAATTTTTTAACATGTAATACAAACGGACAAATTCTGTTTTCTGATGATGTATAACTAAAATAATTTACGTCACTTAATTAATCATAGATGTAAGAATCCACCTAACTTAATTAATCATAGATGTAAGAATCCACCTAACTTAATTAATCATAGATGTAAGAATCCACCTAACTTAATTAATCATAGATGTAAGAATCCACCTAACTTAATTAATCATAGATGTAAGAATCCACCTAACTTAATTAATCATAGATGTAAGAATCCACCTAACTTAATTAATCATAGATGTAAGAATCCACCTAACTTAATTAATCATAGATGTAAGAATCCACCTAACTTAATTAATCATAGATGTAAGAATCCACCTAACTTAATTAATCATAGATGTAAGAATCCACCTAACTTAATTAATCATAGATGTAAGAATCCACCTAACTTAATTAATCATAGATATAAGAATCCACCTAACTTAATTAATCATAGATGTAAGAATCCACCTAACTTACATTTCTATTTACATGTTATCAAAAGATAAATCATCTGGACAAACCAGGAATCAAACTTGTATATAATATGACGCCCTTTTAAACATTAAACAAGCTGCAAGTTAACAATTGTGTAAACTCCATAGAAACTAGGTACACACGTACCTCCACAGAGCTGTGTCTCAGTGTGTCCAAGCGCTGGTCAATCTTGTCCTGGCGACTGGAGTAGAAGTGGTCACTGTGAAAGTCAAGGGGCATAACTTGGAAGTTGGAGTGAAAGGCATCCGGAATGTCACGGTAGATCATATCCCAGAAAAACAGTGTAAATAGACTGCTTACTGTAGAACCCTCGGCATGTAAACCTGACAGAAACAATAGAGGATTAAACTTCTTTTTCTATATAATGTAGTAAGTACGATAGCAAGAGCAGAGCAGGGGAGTTACAACAATAACATGTGCTTGTCACATGCCATAGTATTCATCGAGACTCGCTGTATAATGTTAAATAATTAAACTAGCAAGGTGGATGATGTGGAAATAGCTGACGGATGAAATGACAGATGCATCAGAGATGGAAAATATTGTAAACAAGGCAGGTGAAATAGCAAGGAAGTAATGCTCAAAAATACAAATCGCTCACCCAGTCCAGTCGGTCTTTGAACATCCTGACTAAAGTAAAACTTTGATACAAAAGTATGAAGTAGTTTCCTTGCAGATGTGATGTTATACATCAGACTAAGGCAACACACTAAATATCAATAAATATATATTAGTATCATGATATAACAATTTAACACCGAGCCTACGCAAAAATCTTGTCTCTGATAAATCTAGTGTACTGACCATCTGTGTAACCGTTTTGACGATAGTGCTCCATTACAAGTTGCTCCACTCCACAAAACGTCAGGTCATCAGGGTCCCCCTCTGACCCTGGAGTGGACATCAGGAACCGAAACCTTGCTCCAGGTACGTTGTCTGGTAGCACTTTACCGTCCAGGAACACCTTTATATAACAACAACACAATCAGCTCTAAACAAGACTAACAATTCCTGATTTACATGGAGCTTTTAAAACAAAACACTGTACCATTAAATGCTCTGTTCAGGTTTGCTTTGCACATTACAAAGTTAACTGAAGCCATTTTTACAATGAACTATATAGGTTATTCTAAATTCTCATCAACAAAATGTAAGGATAAATTTCTGTTCTGGTAAAAAATATACGAAGTCATTTTATAGCAGCGTTATAACAGGTCATTCCAACACTTTATTACTCATAGTTGAAAATCTTAAGAAAAGTGTTTTCAATTATTTGTCTTGAAACGATCCTTGACAATGTTTTAATGAAGAGTAAAGATATTTTGAGAAAAACTGTTATGGTGTTACAAAAACAAAATGAATATGAAGACCTTAAGAATATACTAAATAATATTTTAAAACATTTAATATTAACACTGTTTTTCTTCTAATATTAGCTACATGCTTTTTATTTCCATTTCGATTGAAAAATATTGATGTCACTGATATGTCCAATCACCTCAGGGTAGTCTAAGACAGGTTCATGGTGAAAGTTGAGCAGCTGGTCTTTAAACTTTGACTTTGGAGCTGTACAGATTTTCTCGGCCCTTTGGAACACGGCCAGTCTGTGTCCTGTACGGAGGTACTCGTCTTCTAGGCCTTCTCCAATACACTTTAGTGCCTGTATCATGAGGGGAGAACATTTCAGATGTAAACAATAGTTTCTACAAAAACGTTTTACAAGAATCTTTTAAAATGTGGAAAATATGTTATATCTGGGGGGAAAAGGAGATACTTTGAAAATATGAAATTAATAGCAAATTCAGATTTTTTGGAGAAATATTATTTCATGATTTTAAATCACATCCACGAAACAAGTACAGTATAAACACATCCTGTTCAAAACCAATAAAAAAAAATCTGTTAATTCTCAAATAAGTTTTTCATTTCTAAGATAAAGCTTTCTACTTAAAATGAAGAGAATCATCAATAGAATATAACTGGGGACGTTTGTAGATACCTTAGCTGGCTGTTTGAGGTGAGCGTCGTAGTTTATGGCAAGACGTTCCCACCAGTGGCCACGATAAGTTACGCAGTAGATCTGCTGACTCAGCAGTTTTTCGAGGAGTTGGACTGCCTGCGTGTAATCCTTCCGACGCTGTAGTATCTCCACCCCCTGGTTCAGCACTCTTACAAACACACCACATGCCGTGTAGGACCGGAGGAAAACTGGCAGACTTTCATCATGACTGTTAAAGAAAAAGAGAACAAGAGGCCCAAGGGCCTTAGCGGTCACCTGAGTTATATCATAGGTACTGGTAGCTTTATTTTATTGTTTAGATGTGATGTGGAAATCAGCATGTAATCTAAGTGAAATACAATACTTGTCATGTCATCAAAGGATAAGAATTTTTAAAAAAATTGGTAAATGTTCCCTTTTGGGCCCCACCCTAGCCACTGGGGATGGGGCAGGAATCCCAATTTTACATTGTAATACCCTCATCCACCAAAGATGATTCTGACCAAGTTTGAATCATTTTCTGCTGAAAATTGTTAAAATATACCCAAATGTGTTATTTCCCTATAATTGATATTAACAATAGTAAACTTTACCCCCTCCCCAAGGGGGAACGGATGGCTCTGGGGTCAAGAAATTGACAATTTCAATAAGCTCCTAATGATCTATCTATCCATGCACTGTAATTGATTGTAGTACCTCCGAGTCTGGTGTAGAGGATTTTTGAAATATTGGTTCATTTTCCCTTTGGGGCCCCGCCCTGGCCCCTAGGGTTGGGGTAGGAATCCCAATTTTACAATTTGAAAACTATCTTCCTCCAGGGATGATTCTCACTGAGTAAGAATAATTTCCTACAGATGACCTAAAAACATCATTCTCTCACACACAACATACCACATCTAGGGCGAGAGGAAATTATTTGGCATTTGTCTTTTTTGTTTTCAGAAAATGATATACATATATCACCCCTCACACACACACACACTGGGTAGAGAATGTGACAGCCTACTTAATGAAACCTTTCTATATCTGCAGAGTAGAAAAGTTTGACCGTTTACCTTTGAATGGCTTGATCCTGTAACTGTTTGTCATACTGTTTCTCTGCTGACTGGTATATATCAAACGCTCGATCAAAATCCTTTTTCTCTAGTCTGGTGAGGATATCACTCTCCATTGTTACAGCAGTGGCAAATCTGAGGAAAGTATCTCTGTCCCCGAATATACTGGTGCTCTTGTTCACTTTGTAACCTGGATACACCAATCTTCCTATGTTAACTTGCAGCATCTGAAACCTTCAAAAACAATCACTTATTCATTATAGCTTTATGGCATACCAGAGTATAAACATTTCTAACAATTTATTTTTCGATTCAAAATTTTTGTGTGAAATAAAAGCACCATGAATTCAAGAATTATTAAAAAGTTGTCATTGTTCTTAAAGTCAGAACTCAAAATACTGAAATAAATGCTTAAAACATCTTAATTATACATACAATTCTATTTCACAACACTATTTATTTGAAACCTACCACTACAACATTTAGGACCAAATAAACTCTATTACTACAAACTTCAGGACCCAAAGAAGTCTATTATTACAACCTTTAGGATCTAATGAGCACTATTGCTACAACTTTTAGGGCCCATTGAACTCTATTACTAACAACTTTGGGACCCAATGAACACTTCTTCTACTATCTTTACAACCATGGAACACTTGTAATACTACTACAATCTTTAGGATCAAATGAACACTGATACTACAATATTCACGACTCAATGAGCACTACCGCTTCAGCCTTGAGGACCCAACAAACACTACTACATGTACTAAAACCTTAACAACACACAGATTATTAATACTACAATCCTCATTACCAATGAACACTACTACTACAACAATCAGGGCCCAATGAGCAATACTTCTACGATCTCAACAACTATAGGACCACTACTACCACTAGGTCCTACATATTAGGACCCTATAAACACTATACAACAGATGAAACTTGTTACTAGTAGTGTACAGTACAATGCTTTATATTGTGGGTCAATATTGTAGAATAGCACTCGAATTGAATTACCATGGTTTTCACAAATAGTTTGTTGCAGATAAATTCAAAACATAAATAATTTTCAATCATGAATACCGTAAATATTTGCATATTGTGCACACTGATGTATAATGCGTAAGTACTTTTTGTGTGAAAAAAAAATCACTCACTCACTCCCTTTTGATTAATACAACTTTACAGTAATTCAAATCAAACTTTTCATTAAGATCTGCAGTTTATTTTAAATTATATAGTATTAATTTTCTTCAATTCTCATAACTAGGAGTAAGGAAGGTCATATTGTACTAAGATACCAGCCAAACAACACAAATGTCTTTGATCAAGATTTCCCAGATATTGGATGGGAGATCACTTTTTACAGACTTACAGTTGTTGTCCTTGACTACCGGTACCGTTGTCTTCATCAAGAATTGTGTCATTCAAAGAGAACAGCATCAACATCCTAAGGAACACGGTTCTTGGCTCTTCCATCAAGTGTAGACAGCAACCCAGTAACTTCTTAGCTCTGTCCAAGGAATATTAGACCTTTACTATAATTGTCTGATGGAGACCGACTAGTATGTAGTAGTATAACATGTTACATTCAACAACAGGTGAGAAAAGTTACTTGAATACATAGAACAAAAACTTGTACAGGTAAGATAGAACAAAAACTTGTACAGGTAAACTTGTACAGGTAAGATTGTATAGTATACATTTGTTAATGTTCATAAATGAAATCGTTCATAATTGCAGAAATAATGAAGGAACGGTGTGTTATGTGAGAATGTGTGTTCGGGGAGTGTCACTGGAGACGACACAAAAGTGGTATTTTGTAGATTTGTGTAGCGGCCTAAGTATATATGTATATAGGAAATACTGAATCATTTAGGAGAGGTTTAATAGCTATGTGCATGCATGTTGCAAACTGTCCGCATTGTGGCTGCCATTTTTGTCAGAATGATTGTGGCGGGCATCGTGTAATTGTAGTGCAAGTTGTAAGTGAAATGTTTTTACATCACAAAGGAACCAGTATGCAAATCTCTGTAAAAAAATAGGTAGCTTCAAAGACAACTGCTATTAATGTTGAAAAAGTTCCAATATTATAAGACATGGTTATAGAATTTTGTTCAGGTGTATATTTACTGACACAAAAATATGCAGGTAGGAATTTAAATGTATCGTAAAAACTCATGTAATTTGCGCACTTTTTTTGAGAAATTGAATGCCCAAAGTGGGGGGTGCACAGAATACATAAGTGTAAGCAATTTCAAGTTTTTTTTGCATGAAAAGATCGACGATTCTGGCAGACCGTCATCTTGGACACGAGATAATCTCCCTTGGTACACGGAACTCGAAGACAAACGACGATCAACACATATATATATGTCAAACATCAATTAAAAGAAACAATTGATAAATACTGTGTTGTTATAACCTGAGTTTATGTGAAAAGTATTATTAAATAGGTAACTGTTAACTGAAAGAAAGTTTAGCCAATTACTATGCCAGAGAATCGCCGATCAACTGGGTTAACTGTGACCCACCTGTTAAGCATGGTACTGGAACCCCCGCAGCCTGCCACCTTGAACATGGAGCCGATCGTGCTCTGTCTACTCTTCTTGATCAACAGCTGTATTATGTCAGGCTTGTTCTGATTGGTCACATTGATGTGATAGGTTTTAGCCAAAGTTTTCAAATCTCCCGCAGATAAGATGTTCAAAGTCACCTGAAGGTCAGTCAGACCCTCAGCTGCAACATAGTAACCAGTTCATTACATACATTGAAAATGTATTGAGATGTGTTATTTTAGAGAGGAATAGTAGATCCTGCTTACCCGGTATATGCAAATTCAATATGTCATCTGAGGGGATCCTATATGCAAATTCAATATGTCATCTGAGGGGATCCTATATGCAAATTCAATATGTCATCTGAGGGGATCCTATATGCAAATTCAATATGTCATCTGAGGGGATCCTATATGCAAATTCAATATGTCATCTGAGGGGATCCTATATGCAAATTCAATATGTCATCTGAGGGGATCCTATATGCAAATTCAATATGTCATCTGAGGGGATCCTATATGCAAATTCAATATGTCATCTGAGGGGATCCAAAGAAAAAAATATTAATTGAGTGGCTTCAGTTTCACAAAACACCATGACTTATCCTTTACCTAACCTAAAATTCCCTATAGGAACTAGAAATGTGTCCAAGTCATGGATACCCATACTTCAGAAATAGGTTTGGAACAGAGATGTTGGACTGTTGGAGTTGTGTGTACCTGTCTGAACAAGTTGATGTTGGGCCAGTTCCGTCACAACTGGTGTCAGATCATCCTCAATTTCTGGATATTTTATTCTGGTCAATGGTAGCCATGTCAACTTTCTGGAGAACAGACGGATATACAACTTCTGGGCAGATTCTGGAAAATGGATGATAAACAAGTAGATTTTTTTAGAAATATACTGCATTGTACAATTCAATCACTACTTAATCAATAAAAAAATGGAAAATTATTTTAGCAATGAATGTTTTAGCAAATGTTGTTATGGTCCTATAACACACATTGCTATTGATGACAAACTTAATAAAGCCTGGCAAGTTTGTCAGCAATAGAAATGCGTGTTATAGGACCAAAATAATATTTGCTAAAATATTCATTATTTATATTTACATTTTGATAGAGTAGATAAGCTTTATTTAGTTATTTCGAGCAGTTTTTGAACAGCAAATCAAGTGTTGACAACAATGAAATTGATGATGTCTCACAATATAGATTGATAACGTTACAATAGCAAATGTTGTTATAGTCTCATAACAACGTTTGCCTTGGCAACACATGACAATGGAAGGATGCAGAGCAAATGTAACAAGCAATGTTACAAATAAACATTATGTTACATTTTAGGCTTTTTTTAAACAAAATGATTTTTATTACCCGAGCATGTTTGAAATTCTCCAATAAACTTCATATCTTCTTCATTGAAAAGTTGTTGATAGTCCGACTCTCCCAGTACTGTTGTCATGATCACTTTAAAGTTTTCATGGTAGTATGGTGTTTTGTACTTCTCCTTCAAGTCCTCTCCCACACTCTCTGTCTGACTGTCTGTTGTCTGGCTGTCCACTGTCTGGCTGTCCATCGTCTGGCTGTCAGTCGTCTTACTGTTTTCCATCTGACTTTCACTCTGACTGTGAACTCTCACAGTTCCTATTGACTGAGAATCTTGTGTTTGGCACTCCTTAATATCTAACTTTGGATCTCTTCTACTGTTGGACATTTTAGTTTTCTTGATTTGAATTTGCTTTTCGGAAATGTTCTGTTTGATTTGGCTATGATCATGACAGTCTGACTGTTTTAATAGTGATTCACAAGATGTAGATGGAGAAATGGGCTCCACTGTAGCCACAGTTAGTTCTTTTGACGAAGTTTTATTTTCAGAACCACTTGCACATGCATGTTTCGATGCATCCTTTACTTCTGTATCCCTCATACACCTCTGAACATTTGTATCACGAGTCGTTCCATCTTCAGTCCTGCTAGAACATTTCACACTCTTTGAGGACTCAACTTTTCTGATTTTATGCGGCGCTTTACTTTTATGATGATCTACAGATGTACTGCTCTGTCTTTCAGATTTGTTCATTATTTGCTTTTTCAGCAATTTCGTCTCATTTCTTTTCTTTTTATCTTCGGTTACAAAATCTTCCAGATCCTCTGATAACTTCCTTTTCCCGAGAGACAACCGTATAGACCTTCCGACTTTTAGAGATGATTCCCCATTATCAGAGTTTACGTTACAAGTGTTTTCTTTCTGTGATGGAGATTCCTCATTGTCAGCTGTTTCAGCTTTTATTTCACTGTCAACTTTCACAACTTCATCTTCAAGTAATTTCTTTGAAACAGATTGCTTAAGGCGTAATCTTGAAGAGCTTCTCTTTTTTTTAAAGAATGGAGACGTTGATTCTGGAATAGACATTTCGGAGTCATCATTTTTTCCAGACTTTTCAAAATATTGACTTTCCACTTTAACTACGGTTACATCATCCGAATCGGAGTTATCACTGGAATGATCTTGTCCTATGTTGGAAGACATGCTTGTAGATCCCCTGGACACACCAGCAGACTGCTGTTTGAACATGGCTGTTATCGTCTGAACACCTTTTGGGGGTGGAGATTTGTTCAGCTTCTGTTTCCCCCATTTCTTTGGACTTTTCCCTATCCCTTGAGGTTTCATTTTTGTTCTGAATAAATAAAGGGAAAAAATCAAAAACATTCAAATTTGGTCATAATATTAAAGTAAAATTTAGCGATTATAGTATATCAGATAGGATTATAACAGGTAGAAATTGGTTCAGAGGTCTTCCATGGTGTGAATCCTGACTTGACTTGTCCAATTTCATTTCTCCAATTCTTAGGCCCTGTAATAACCCATTTTTCCTGAAGAATTGTAGCTGTAATTTCCTAATTTCATATGATACTTCCCTTCATTTGCAGCTATTTGGGGGAAAAAAATCTTAAACTTATTTTAAAATCTTTTTATGTTCTCTGAATTATGTAGTCTCTGTAAAATAAAATCTAGTGAGATCATAGGTCAAGAATTAGTGAGATCACAGGTGAAGAATTAATTTTTTACTTTCCGATTCTTAATGACTTATTGTATTATACATGTGATCAATATTTAAGTTGAGTTTGTGCATGGAGAAATAAAAACGTAACACATGTACATATTGTTGCCAAATTACTGTTTTGTTTGTTGGTTAGTCAAATAAATAAAGCTTCTGATGAAAGAAACACTCTTATTTTTCATAATAATGCACCATGTACATTAGTGTGTGTTGATATCAAAAGGTTTTGATAAATACATTTAGGAATTAGGCCTGTTATTATAAAATAGATAGACAAATTACAGACCTAGAAAACACAGAGATCATTTTCGGGCCAGAAAATGGCCAACAAAAAAATAGGTTAAATTCCATGCTCGTGTAAATTCAATGAAAAAAAGGAGTAGTGTGTGACTTCTTATTATTGAGACCATTTTCATTGACAGAAACAAATACAATGAGTCGCGATCGGATGTGACTTCTTATTATCAGGGCCATTATATTTGTATTAACGCAGAAACGTATATAACACATAATATGGCTTTATACGTAAACGTAAACAAATTAAATGCCCGTGGAAACTACCCGTACGAAGGTGAAATTTTTTTTTTTTAAAAGAAGTTAAACGGATATTTATGATTAATGCTTAAATTTTCCGAGATTATCATGTACTCCACATCAATTTTGTTCTAAACCAAATTAAGAATGCAAATTTCATTTATCATACCATGACCACTGGCAATGATTGCACATTCAGCAATATTTCAGACGTTTTGTTTGAGGGGCCGAACTTTTAAGAGTTTATCAATTTATAGATGATTGACAGTTTGTAGCTGTAGGTTCGATGGGATCATTAAGATGGACACTGTCTTTAACTTGCAAGTCACAGGACAGAAGTTTGACATGTAGAATTCACCAACAACTAATCTTTACCAAAATAAACTTGGCGCTTTTGAAAAAGAAATCCAAAACATCGGCATCATTTAAACTCTTCAAAATGGAGGCTCTGCATTAGAAGCGCATACGTAACCCTGATCAAAAATCCAAACTAATAAACCAAATAGTCGACTACCGATTCCGGATTTTTACCGTATATAACCCAAAATGCTCCATCGGTTTGCGATAAACACAATAATATAAATCCTGCAAAATGACACCAACAAGCACTTTTAAAGAAGCAGATTCAACTTAAGTTTCTTATTAAATCTATTTTGCATAATGTCGGGCAACAATATCTAATGATTGACACAATGTATAATTAGCAGGCATTCGTTTTATTTTATATTATCAGTAATGCCATTTTTTAGAAGAATTAGCTTTTAGACAAGAGACCTAAAGGGTTGACTAGCTAGATTTCCAGTAATTTAAAGAACTCCAACAGCTTTTAAAAAGAAGAGACCGAGAGCCAATATTATACTCACCTTGACATTTAATTATAAGTAATCATGTAAAATTATCTAAATAACTTATTTACAGTAAGTCTTCAAGGGTGGGGCCATACCCTGGAGCAAATGCTGGTAGCATTATTGAATTTGTCTCTTCCAGCACAATGAAGCATGTATCATTTGCTTATCTCTTAATTATTTGCAATTCTTCTGTTTAAACAGCGAGATATTTTTAATTGAAATGCCCAGCAAGTAAATATCTGCATATCATGATTTTATTCTTTCTCTCCGAGTGGGGAATAGGCCCATGACCATGCAAGTCCGCTCTAACTGTTTCTGTCCTGAGCTGATCTTGCTGCATCTATCCTTGACCTGAAACCCAGATTTTCCCCAATGGTTTGATCTCTTTCATGTCTCTTTTGGCCTTCTACTCTTTCCTTTTCTTTCTGGCGCCCATCCGAGTGCAATGTGTGGGTGTGCATTCGTTTCCATCCTTAGAGCATGTCCTTACCATTGCCTTTGTTTGTTTGTTTTTTTGTTTGTGTGGTTTTACTGTAACCATTGACATTTCCTTATTAAGGTGCTGATTTTATCTAGTACCCCTTCTGTTCTCACTGTTTCATTGGACACTTTTCTCGGCCAGTAGATTTTTGGAATCTTTCTGAGGCACTTGTATTTGCATTCATTTATTAATGCATATAGTTCTTTTACTGCTGTTTCTGTGTCTAGCTCAGAATCTCTGCTGTGATGTTACCCACACCTAGTGCTTAATTCCAGCCTTCATTTCCTTCAGCGCTCTTTTAATCTCATATTGTTTGAGAGGGTCTGTCTCTATTTCCATTTCTACAGCATCTTCTGTAAGAATTTCTGCTGGATCAATAGGGTCTGGTCTATTTAAGACCTCACTCACATGTTTCCATATTGGTTTTTACTGCATCAACATTCTTTGTTCTCTCATTGCATAGAATTTTGGTCATACCGTACACTCCCATTATGTTTCCATCTACCCACTGTCTTTTGTCTTTTCTCATACACCTCTTTACTTCTTTGTCTTTCTCTCCATACAATTCTTAAAGCCTTGATATTATCCTTTCTGATTTTGCATATACATTGTTATAAAGAGGTTGAGGATCTCAACCATTCCTTACTTCTGACCAACAGACTAAGTCTATATAAGGACCTATTAAGGTCTATTCCGAGTAAAAGAAACAGCTTTATTGCGTTGGGTGCTTCCTCCACAGTGTGTTTAGTTTAGGCTTGAATTCATTGCTTTAGATAATAGTCTTTTCCTGGAGATTGATATATATTGCCACAGGTCCAGATGCTGCAGGCTCCCATCTGGACTTGTACCTAAAAGATAGTCGTACATTAAGATACTTGTTGTATTATCTCCCTCTTTAAGGTACATGTAAAACACAACATTTCAATGTATGATGAGCCCACATACCACACCGTAAAGCGATTATTATGAGCTAGACATATATAGTTATATACATTTTCATCAATGCCTTCTTAAAAAGTACGTAAATCAAACCATTAAAGAAAACTCTAAATAAAGGAATTTCTTTAATGCCAGTGCAAATGTGAATCATTTCTGACGGGATCTCTACTACCAGAAACATGAAGAGTAAGGAATTAACGAAGAAACATGTATTCAACTTTTTGTTTGTCTTGTTTGTTTGTTTGTGTTTAATGGCCCATCGACATCTGTGGTCATTTAGGGCCATGGTGATTTATTTATTTATTTTTAAACAAACATGTGAGTAGCGTAGATAAAATCAGATAAAAATGATTATGTTTAAAAGCATTCGTGTGGTATGTGTAAATAATTAAAATAAAAAAGGGGTCAAAATAATAAAAGAGATAATGTATGGATTATATGGAATATGTGATCAATATGTATAACGTCAAAGAGGGTAAGGTGGGTTAAAAGACATCAGAGTCTATAGAATAGACCGGTGTCTTTCAAATAGTGAAATAATGCCTTTGTGTCTACGGAACTGGAAAAGAGTTTTCATATCCGGGACTCGAAAGTCATTATCACGAATGTGTTAAAAATCGTAGCATTCTATTAACTAGATGTAACTCAAAGGGGGCCTTCGTGAATACCCCCGCTTTGATTGATCGGGAATTGGTGGGAGTGATGTGCATGTGGATTGGAAGAATCAAGTGAAGAGTTTATATGTTGCAAGTCTCACGTTACGAAGGTCAAAGGTCACGATAGAGGTCACACTGTTGTCTTTATGCTATGTTTGGCGATTGGGGACATAGCTTCGTCACCAAAAGGTTACCACCCAAAATTGGGCTTGGGGCCACCTCAAATAAATTAGATAAATGTGTGACAAGATCTGTCAATAGGCTATATAAAGACATGACTCTGTGGGCAGCCGTCATTTTGAATAGCTGTAATTTAAAGAAAAAATTACACTGCATACTTATTATTCCTGGTGGCAACCTCTAACCCGCCAAATGACAATGTTCCTTTGTTCAAACCATTAATAGTAACTTCCAATGAAAAAGTGTTGTCTTTGAAATATGGTTGATTAAGCCATGACGATTTTGATCCGCCAACGAATATGATGCACCAGGAGGCAAATCCTGAAGCACTCGCATGCAATACAAAAATAAACAAGAGGCCCAGAGGGCCTGTATCGCTCACCTGGATATCTAAGCAATCATAGCAAAATATTCTCCAAATGATATCCAAGGGAAAATGCCAGACCCCAATACTAATTCTTGTAGTATGTCTGCATTAGATTTTTCATGCCCAGCAATTTAATGTACGGTTATGGGGTGGGGATCTCAACTGTTTCCAAGCTGTGACTCAGAAACTAGATCCCTAGGGTTGTGGCCAGACCCCAGGATTAATTCTAATATCATGACTGCATTCGTCTCTTTTTGTCCAGCATTTGTATTTATAGTCTTGGGGTGGGGATCTTAACCGTTTCAAAGTTATGACCCAGGGGTTAAGTCTGCAAGGGTGGGGCAGACCCTGCATGGGGTCAATTCTAATATCATGACTGCATTCGTCTCTTTATGCCAAACAATTGTATATATAGTTTTGGGGTGGGGATCTTAACCACTTCAAAGTTATGACCCAGGGGTTAAGTCTCCAAGGGTGGGACAGACCCCAAGGCCATCCTGGAAGCATATGTGCATTCTTAACACTCAGCAGGTCCCTAGGGGTTCGGTCAGACCCCAGGGTCTATTCTAATAACATGATTACTTTTGTCTCTTTATGCCAAGCATTTGTATATATAGTTCTTGAGTGGGGACAACCATTTCAAAGTTAATACCCAGGGACTATGTCTCAAAGGGTGGGGCCAGACCCTAGGCCATCTTGGAAGCAAATGTGCATGCTTCTCTTTATACTCCAAAATTGTATATATGGTTATACGATGGGGATCTCAACCATTTCCAAGTAATACACTTTTTTTGGCCCCATCCCTTAGCACAGGGGGGTCGGCCCAACCATTTGTACAATTTTGAATCCCTGCCTCCCATGAATGCTTCTGACCAAATAAGATCGATATCCATGGCATAAGTCTACAGAAGAAGTCGTTTATGGCAATATTGCAAAATTGCCCCTTTTGGCCCCACCCCTCAGCCCCCTTGGGAATCAGCCCAACCATTTGTACAATTTTGAATTCCCACCACCTAGGGATGCTTCCAGTCAAATATGGTTGATATCCAGTGCATAGTTCTACAGAAGAAGTCGTTTGTAGCAATATAGCCATATTGCCCACGCCCCTCAGTCCACTGGGGGTCAGCCAAACCATTTGTACAATTTTGAATCCCCACTACCGAGGGATGCTTCAGACAAAATATGGTTGATATCCATCTCTAAGTTCCAAAGAAGTCGCTTAAATCAATATAGCCCAATTGCCCCTTTTGGCCCCACCCTCAGGCCCCTGGGGGGCCAGACCCACGGTTTATACAAAATTGGTTCCCCTTCACCGAAGGATGCTTCAAACCAAACATGGAACAAATTCTTTCATTCCTACAGAAGAAGAAGGATTTTTAAGAATTTACTATGTGTTCCCTGTTGGGCCCCGCCCCTAAGGCCTCTCAGGCCCCTCAGGAGCCAGAACCACGGTTTATACAAAATTGGTTGTCCTTCACTCAAGGATGCTTCAGATCAAATATGGAACAAATCCTTTCATTCCTACAGAAGAAGGATTTTAAAGAATTTGCTATTTTTTTCCTATATGGTCCCGCCCATCAGGCCCCTCCGGGTCCAGACCAACGGTTTATACAAAATTGGTTCCCATTTACCCAAGGTTACTGCAGATCAAATATGGAACAAATCCTTTCATTCCTGCAGAAGAAGAAGGATTTTAAAGAATTTGCTATATTTTTCCTATTGGGCCCCGCCCCTCAGGTCCCTCAAGGTCCAGACCGACGGTTTATACAAGATCGGTTCCCATTTACCCGAGGATACTGCAGATTAAATATGGAACAAATCCTTTTATTCCTACAGAAGAAGAAGGATTTTAAAGAATTTGCTATATTTCTTCTATTGGGCCCCGCCCCTCAGGCCCCCCCATGATCAGGGGCCAGACCCATGGTTTATACAAAATTGGTTCCCATTTACCCAAGGATACTGCAGATTAAATATGGAACAAATCCTTTCATTCCTACAGGAGAAAAAGGATTTTTAAGAATTTACTATGTGTTCCCTATTGGGCCCCGCCCCTCAGGCCCCTCAGGGGCCAGAACCACGGTTTATACAAAATTGGTTGTCCTTCACTCAAGGATGCTTCAGACCAAATATGGAACAAATCCTTTCATTTCTCCAGAAGAAGGATTTTAAAGAATTTGCTATATTTCCCCTATTGGGCCCCGCCCCTAAGCCCCCACCGTTTATACAAAATTTGTTCCCCTTCCCCTAAGGATGCTTCTGACCAAATTTGGTCAAAATCTGCTCAGTCGTTTATGACATGTAGCGATTTTTAGGAAAAGTTGAAGGACGACGGCTACCATGGCATAAGCTCACTTGCCCTTCGGGCAGGTGAGCTAAAAAGCAGCAGAAACGATTTTCTGAATCGCTCCCATACAGCTCCTGGCAGGGTCTGTGAAGATTGTTTGTGATAAGGGGATATAACTCTCAGCTATGGTATTGAGAAAGGACAACTCTGGATCTGGTAATAAGGCACAACAACACCAAATATCTTTGTACTCTGATAAACAGATTTATTTATTATCAAATAAATCCCAGTGATACAAAATAAGTACAACAGCTCGAACAAAGAGATATTTGAACTGTAATTACTATTGACATCGTAAAGCTATTACATCTCTGTAAAATATCTGAACACATGTATTGTGAAACTTAATTTTAAAACAGATATGTGTATCGAGATACACATCATATTGAATGTATTGTGCTGTGAAAGTACAGGATACGGGATACATGTACAGGGTACGGGTTGCAAGTTCCCTTAGCCCAAGGATGCTCCAGACTAATTTAGGAGAAAATCCCTTAATCCCTACGGCAGGAGAGGGATTTTAAAGGTTTTACCTCTATTTCCATTATTTAGCCCCGCCCCTCTGCTCCCAGGGGGGCAACACCCACTGTTTATACAAAATTGAGTCCTCTTGGCCCAAGGATGCTCCAGACTAATTTAGGAGAAAATCCCTTAATCCCTACGGCAGGAGAGGGATTTTAAAGGTTTTACCTCTATTTCCATTATTTAGCCCCGCCCCTCTGCTCCCTGGGGGGCAACACCCACTGTTTATACAAAATTGAGTCCTCTTGGCCCAAGGATGCTCCAGACTAAATGAAAATAAAATAAATTAATCCCTAGGATAGAAAAAGGATTTAAAGGTTTTAGCCTCTATTTCCCCTATTTGATCCTGCCCCTCTGCCCCCAAGGTGGCCACATCAACCGTTTATACAGAATTGAGTCCCCTCGACCCAAGGATGCTTCAGACCAAATAAAAATAAAATCCCTTAATTTCTACGGTAGAAGAAGGATTTTAAAAGTTTTACCTCTATTTCCATTATTTGGCCCCACCCCTCTGCCCCCAGGGTGGCCACACCTCCCGTTTATACAAAATTGAGTCCCCTTGGCCCAAATACACATAGCTAGCCAAAGCTGTTGAAAAGATGATTAAATCTTCTTTCCAATGTCATGATATTCTAAATGTCAATCACAAAGAAACATCTGGATTTAATTGGGGATTGTACAACTTCAGAATAGGAAGTTGATCAGAAGGCATACATCTTTTGTCCAAAACTGTTTTTATTTTATTATCACAATGTTTTAGTTATCTTTTTTCAATTTCTCTTTTCAAAGTTTCATATTTGTCCATGTTAACTGTGCAAAAGTCTAGGCTATTTTGTACAGTTTGATCGAAGACGGTGATGGTAGGTTGTGTGGGACACTGTCTGAACCAGACCAGCAGACAGTTGTACACTTGGCTCGGCACATGAGTCGGGTTTTCAATTTTCTTCTGGTCCACCTTTTCACTGCCTACACCTAGCTGTCCAACAAACATCTCCCAACCACTGCCAAAGCATGAAGCCAGACGCTGTAGGTCCTGTTCTGTCAGTCGGAGGGGGTCTGCAATAGAAGTGATGTATGGGTTTAGTCTCACCTAGCATTCATTTCTAAAATACCTAGTCTCACCTAGCATACATTTCAAATTTCACACCTAATCACAATTTGGTTATAGTCTGTTTCAAAATGATGTAGATGGTATTGTAATACATATTATAATTAAGAATTTATGTCTACTTTAATCAGAGAAATATTCCATTTTCTTTGTAAAGAATCATAATGACACGTGGTAGTAGATAAAATAGGAATATTAAAAAAAGAAGAGGCCCAGAGTGCCTGTATCGCTCACCTGAATGTGTTTAAAATAATTGGTATGAAGTAAAAAATATAGCACTCAATGGTAGGTGCAAGTACATATGAAATTTCAGAAATATCCATCCAGTACTTGAGATATAACGAGAACAAACTTCAAACAGAGCCCACTCCTATGTCCCTAGGGGGGGGGG